CTTCTACTTCCATTGCTATAAACAAGAAGTACTAATTAAATATTAAACCATAACACATATGGAACTTAATACGAAAATCTCGATTTAGTATAAACAACAAATAACAAGTACAAATTACAATGCAAGAAATATGTATTTTCATTTAAAATATGAAATATGTTTTTAATTAAGAATTAAGTGATTAACAATTAAATATTTACATGTTTATAATTTATTAGTTAGCATGCTAATTACTATTTGAAGCTCTTTTTTCTAATTATACTAATTAATAAGTTGTTGCACACTGACTTTGTTTTTCTTTTTACAGATTATACTTAGAGTTAAGCAACAATGAGCAAGGATGAAGGATCACTCAAATTGTCCAACACAATTGCCAAAATAAATATCCACAATTCATTCATGAAATATGTATATTCATTTGTGTAAAAATTCATTTGTGTAATAATTCATTTGTGTAATAATTTATTGCCTAACAAATAATTCATTTGTGTAATAATTTATTGACTAACAAATAAATTATTGACTAACAAATAATTCATTGCCTAACAAATAATTCATTTGTGTAATAATTTATTGACTATCAAAATTATTGACTAACAAATTCATTGCCTAACAAATTCATTGCTTAACAAATAATTCATTTGTGTAATAATTTATTGACTGACAAAATTATTGACTAACAAAATTATTGACTAACAAATTGGAAAATATATTCATATGTTAAGAAATTAAAACTGTAATTGAAACTGAAATTAAAATTAAAATTGAAATTAAAAAAATAAAATACCAAATGAAGTGAGTCAGTGATTTGCTCAATTGCTCACCAATCAACAGTAGCACAAAGCTGCATTAAAAAAAGATAAGTCTTCAAAAAAAAGTTAAGAGAGAGAGAGAGAGAGAGAGAGAGAGAGAGAGAGAGAGAGAGAGATTGAGAGATATAGAGAGAGGGACATTAAAAAAAGATAAGTCTTCAAAAAAAAGATAAGAGAGAGAGAGAGAGAGAGAGAGAGAGAGAGAGAGAGAGAGAGAGATTGAGAGATATAGAGAGAGGGATGAGATAAGACAGAGAGAGAGAGGGACGGAGATAAGACAGAGAGAGAAGGACGAAAATATTGAGAGAGGGAAGGAGAAAGAGAATTCGGCTGAAGGAGATCGATGACGACAAGTACCTAGCAGCGACGAGTGGAGGAGATCGACGATGACGAGCTTCGGGTGGATGAGATCGATGACGACGAGCTTCGGGTGGAGGAGATCGACGACGACGAGCTTCGGGTGGAGGAGATCGACGATGACAATGCTTCGGGTGGAGGAGATCGACGACGAGATGGCAGAAGTTTCGCGATCGCTGGACGAGGCGGCATTGAGAGTAAGGTGAGTGAAGTGAAAAAATTAGGGTTCTTTTAGGTTTGGGTTTTGGTTACGGGTTTTGTATTTCTTTTTTTTTGGTTACCGTATCCGAGCCTTGTCCCCCCAGTTGACTGTATCCCCCCAAGTTGACCCGTGTCGAACACGGATTGATCATGTCCGACACGTGTCTTGCACGTGTCGTACATGAATCTGTGTCTGATTCGTGTCAGACACAGATTCGTGGTCTCCGAGGGAGTATCCGTGCTTCATAGGTTACAGCTTGTTGTTACATAGTGATTCGTTCTCCACATTCTACATTGGATGATGATGTATCCTATCGGATATGGTCAGGGGGGCATGCAAATTACGATAGGCTCAGGATTTTTAGATGCACCGCCTACTATCACGTCAATGAGGGAAAGTTTGATGCGAGGGCCAAGAAAGCAATATTGTTGGGGTATGCAAAGGACGTAAAAGGCTATCGTATTTAGTGTACAGAAGATTTCAAATTTGTGATCAGCACAGATGTTACATTTGATAAGAAATCCATGATTGTCAGTGCGTCTAAGAATAATGGTGTTGGGACTGTTAGGACTTCAAAATCTCAGGTGATTAAAATAGAACCTAAAGACCAACCAGGTTCTAGTCATGTTCAAGAGAAGGATCATGAGGATGATGAGCTTGAATAGGAGGAGGTTCAGCAAGAAAATGTATAGGTACTACAACAACAGCAGATCAAATATAGTTTGGCTTCCACTAGGCCAAGGCGAGCATACAAGCAGGTTCAGAAACTGGGATCAGATCAGCCTCTGAAGCACTATGGACAGGTAAATTTGGTTGAGTACGCATTCTCAGTGAAGGATGATGAGCCGATCACCTTCAAAGAAGTTATTCGGGATAGGAATAGTGACAGTTGATTGGCTGCAATGGAGGAAAAGATGGAATCTCTTCGGAAGAACCAAACATGAGAGGTAGTCTCATTGCCCGTAGGGAGGAAAACTATTGGTTGTAAGTGGGTGTACAAGAGAAAGGGGAATCCTTCCGAGCTCGACGGTACAAGATACAAGGTTAGGCTAGTGGCTAAGGGGTTTGCATAAAGAGAGGGTATAGATTACAATGAGATCTTTTCTCCGGTGGTGAAATACACTTCTATTCGGGTACGATTGAGTATTGTTGCTCATGGTGATCTTGAGCTGGAACAACTCGATGTCAAAACGGTCTTCTTGCACAGAGACTTAAATGAGGAAATCTATATGCATCAGCCTGAGGGTTACAAGGTTAAAGATAAAGAGCAATCAGGTATGTCGCTTGAGGAAATCACTTTATGAATTGAAACAATCTTCTCGGCAATGATACAAGCGATTTGATTCCTTCATGTTAAAGCATGGATTCTCCAGAAGCGACTATGATTATTGTGTCTACATTCGGAAGCTTCGTGAAGGTGATTATATCTATCTTTTTTTGTATGTGGATGACATGCTTATTGCTTCAAGAAGCAAGGTAGAGATAGATATGCTGAAATCTCAACTTGATAAAGAGTTCGAGACGAAGGACATAGACACTGCTAAGAAAATACTAGGTATGGATATTAGAAGAGAGCGGAGGAATCGACGATTGTTCTTGAGTCAGAAAGGCTACATTGAGCGGGTTATCGCTAGGTTTGGGATGCAGAGTGCTAAGTTGGTGGTGACTCCATTGGCTCCACACTTTAGGCTTTCAGGTAAATAATCTCCCACTATAGCGAAAGAGAAGGCACACATGAAACATGTACCTTATGCTAGTATAGTTAACAGTTTGATATATGCAACGGTGTATACACGTTCAGATATTTCACAGACGATCGGTGTTGTCAGTAGGTTCATGACGAATCCGGAAAAGACACAATGGGAAGCAGTGAAATGGGTCCTGAGGTACTTGAAGGGTACCGCTGACACAGGTCTATATTTTGGTGGAGGTATATGTCAGATTGATGGATTTGTGGACTCAGATTATGCGGGCAATCTAGACAGACGGCGATCTACTACTGGCTATGTATTCAGAATACATGGTGTTCCAGTTAGTTGGCGATCGATGTTACAGACTACAGTGACACTTTTTACTACAGAGACTGAGCACATGGTCATGATAGAGGGAGTGAAGGAAGCATTATGGTTGTGGGGTCTACTAGATGATTTGGGGATTAAGCAGGATTGCATGAACTTATGGTATGATAGTCAGAGTGTGATTCATTTGGCTAAGAATCAAGTTCATCATGCTCGTACCAAGCATATCGATGTCAGGTATTATTTTGTGTGGGATGTCATAGAGGAATGTGATATTTCTCTCATGAAGGTGCACACAAATGAGAACCCAGCAGACATGTTAACCAAGGTGATGACAGGTAGCAAGTTTCAGGCTTTCAGCATTGTTTGGACTTGTTTCATATCAACCCGTGCTGATCTTTCCAAGAGGGCAACAAGTAGAACTACGATTAGCTTGATCCCGATCAGAGGGTACATAGGCAGTCATGGTATAATGGTGCAGCTGGTTTTAGCCTGATTTTGGCATGTTTGGCGTTTGTGGTGTTCTTCTGGTGTTCGTCTAACATTTGAGGTTTATCAAATGTTGTACGAGATGAAAAATTGAAGAAGAACGGACCTGAGGTCGCCTGATGGAGCTCGTCTGGCGTGGTGGAGAGGCGATGGGGCTCGCTTGCTGGAGTCGCGACCTCGCCTGTTGGATCGCTCGAGCTCGCCTACGTGGTGGGAGACAGCTGGAGCTCGCCCTAGGGTTTCCCTATAAAAGGGAAACCCTGTTCACGAGAATTGTGAGAGATTCAGATCGTGATTTTTCAGAGAAACCCTGTTCACGAGAATTGTGAGAGATTCAGATCGTGATTTTTCAGAGAACGGTTTTTTCATCTGTAACGGCGGCGATTTCTCAAGGAGTTGAGAGGCTTGCGGTGATTTATTAAGAAAAGATTGAGTGATGATTTATTCAGTTGAATAAATCACACGCGGTACTATAACAATTCTACAAAAATCTATATTTTCAATTGAGAGATCTCAAGTTTGAGATCCTCTCTTTGCATGTTTGTAATTTCTTGTGGTTAAATAAGAAATTATTTGTGTGGCTCCCGTGGACGTAGCCAAGTTTGTCGAACCACGTAAATCTGTTGTCTCGTCTGATTTACTTATTGTTTAATATGTGTATTCGTTATTGTTTGTTGATTGTCTTCTCTTGGGATTAATATCGTTTCCGTGGCGGTATGGGCGTCCCTCACCCCAACAAAAGATTTGGCAAACTAATAGCGAAACACCCTACAAACATTTGATCCCTCTATCTAATTTCTAACACTAATCAACCTCATTTTCTCCTTCAAACATTACAAGAACTACCATCTCATCAAATCGTGCCCCAAACGAGCCCCCTTCAACTTTTCGAGAGTGCTCACCCAAGTTACAAGGGATCAAGAATATATAACCCACCCAAAAATATCAACCGTACAATCAAATTTCAACCCTTGATTTTATTCCTTCTTCTCTTAGATATCTCGATATTCTATCAAGTAACCCGGCAAATATAGAAGTGAGATTCTCTCAAAGGAAGAAAGGGGAAATCTCAATTTCAAAATAAAAACGATCCAAACCCGAAAGTGACAGATTCGAACTCACCGGGACGGCAGAGACAATAGAACTTCTCATCCTCTACTCAAGGAAACAAAAACAAAGCACGCATCTTTATTAGAAATCTCTCAGAAGCAAAAAAAATTCCCAAAATCAGAAAAAGAAAATGTAACGAATCGAATCCATAAAAAGTTTACCGATGGTGAGAGCTTTGACGAGGGCGGTCCATCGGCCCTTGTAATCCCTAAAGATGTCTTCGAGTGTGCAAGGGCGAAAGTCGACGCCACGTGCTTCCATTTCCCGCCTCGGAGATTAGGGTTTCTCAGTCGCCACTTTTTTTTTGGAAAACCCCAGAGTGCTCGGAGGATTAAGAAGAGGGTTTTAGAGGGAGAAATAGAGAGAACTTATTAGATGATTTTTTTAATTTTATTTTATTTTGCTAAATGGCGCTTAAATGCCCTATTATTTACACTTAAATACCCTAACTTGGTAACTTTAATATCCTACATTATAAAAAATAGTATTTTAATACCTTAAATTATAAAAAAAATTGGCAGCTAGTACTTTCTGTTAGTTGGATGTATGAGTATACTAAGACTATTCACGTGTGAATAGCACATGACCTTTTTATGATCGTAATAACCTCATTTGTTGTCATATTTATCACTATATCTACCCTTCATCTTTTTTCTAATTTCTATATGGAGGGGTTTTTCTGTCTTAACGGGCTCTTTAATCGTAGTTAATTGTAACGGTGGATAACTTAGAGTATTTATGTGCTACTTTTTACAATTTAAGGTATTTAAGTATAAGGGTGGTGAAACAATAGGATATTTAAGTGCAATTTAGCCTTTTTTTTGCCCATGCAAGTGCTCGCACAGGTGAGTCTTATATATAGACTAAGTAATATGGAGCGCGGTAGCAATAACTAAAGCCACATCATTAGCTTGGAACTCTAAGAGTCTATTTTTTTATATCTGATTTTTTTGGTCTCGACGAGGTTCTTCTTTAGGCATATGCGCATACTTCTAAATTAAAACGTGCTTCTTCTTTTCTATTTTTTATATACTAGGTAGAATGCACGTGTACTACACGTGGTCAAATATTATAATTATTTACTTTAAGTTTATTTATTTATTATAACATGGTTGTAAAAAACTTTATAATTATCATAATATATTAAATTTTTTTAGATATTTCCATGTGTGATTTTAACATTTTGTCTTCCTGAGAAATAGTGATGTTTAAAGCCTTAAAATATTAATGATTTAAGATTAATTAGTAATTTGAATGTATAATTTTAAAATATTAATAATGTAAGGGACCAATACGAAAAAACCTATTATTATTCATAAAAAATAAATTCTTGAATTCATTAAGGAAAATGGTAGGTTTTATCTAGTCATTAAGGATTTTATTCAGTTATAAAAATCACTTTCACCTGTTGTTTATCTAATGATTGAGTATTATAGATATTCAAGAACTTTTTTTGAGAATTTTTAAAGGTAGAATGTGCAAATTCAATCAAGAAAGAAAATATAAATTATGTGATCAATTCCAAAATCTGATGTTGTACTCTTTTTACATCTTCCCAACTACTAATTGATCTGTCAAAACGATTACTCTCTAATTTTAGAACATTATAAAATATAGTCTAAGAATGATTTGTACATATTATGCACTCATATTGATTATATTTTATTAAAATAATTCATATCTATCCAATGTCAAACAACATCTAAAAATTTAGTTTAAGGAGTTACAAGAATACAATATCTGCAATAATACTCATATCCAAGTTATGAGCTTCATAAACTTATAAGAATGTGAACAATATAAAATGATAAGTTAATTTATTTTGTCAAATAATTTATTGCAAATCATGAAAGACAAGGGGAATCAGAAACATCATATACCCATCCCGAATAAATATTAAATTTCTTTTAGAAATTCTTATTGTAAAATAATTTTAGAGTTGACGTGTTTGATAAATTTAAGGACAAATAATCCAAACCAGTTCATTGAGTGATAGATTTGCTATAAACTCTACTCTTATAAAATTTATATCACGTGTGCCTTAAGTTGTGCTTTTGTTTAAGAGTTAATTTTAGAACACTCTCCCTCAACTATGGAGGGCATGGAACCTCCCCAACAAACTATTTAAGATCGAGCAAATCTCCATCAGTAAATCCCCGCCAAGTTTTGGATGTTTTGTAGATAATTTAACCTAAAAATTTTTGATTTAACCCCAGTGAACTTTTCTCACTTAAACCTAACCTCTCAAAACTAATATTATTGAGTCTTATCTATTATGTGATAAGTACATGACTTGAAAAGACCAAAATATCAATCAATCATAAAAGAATTACCTTGGCTTTTACCAGATAAAAGAGATGATATAGAGGGAAAACGAATTGTAAATTGGTTGTAATTGTTTTATTATCGGTTGAGGGTTTCTTTTTAATTAAAATTGCTTTCTTCAAGAGAGTATTTTATCTAAACCACATATCAAAGTTACTATGTTAAGGGTCTTCGTTGATAGAGTTATAAAAGATTAAGGGAGTTTTTATGAGATACGCTATAGTTGATATGTATTTTCTAAAATTGCACCAAAATTGAGAGGGGTTATCTATAACACCCCACATAGTGAGGGGGTTTTTGTTAGTCCCATGTTTATGAGACTACTCCCTAATCTTATTTTGATGATTTTACAAACAATTCCTAACATCATTTATCTAGTATTTGTGTTTGTTATTAGGTATTCTAGACAAACAATAATGTTAGTGTTAGACCCTAGAGGGGGGTGATTAGGGTCTTATGCTAATCTAATTCGATTTTATGCCAAATTAAAAACTTTATTGATTATTTAAAGCTTGCAAGAGATATATATATAAGCTAGAATGTAAAATAAAAGCACAATATAAAAGAACACAAGGCAAATTCAAACACAAGATATGATTACGGAGTTCGGTCCCCACGACCTACGTCTCCGCTCCTCACCTTGAGAAGAACTCCACTATCATGACACACCCGATTTGAAAGCCGAAACTTCTCTACACACTCGATTATCAAGTCAACCGACAACTCTCACAAAATCTCACAATGTACATACACAAGCTACAACCTTAAGTGTTGGTCCTCACGTATCGACTCCCTCAAGTGCTCGAAATTATCACCTCTCACTAGGCCACCGACGCCACTCCTCTCGGTATCGACTCCGTCCTCACCACACACACCTCTCGATGTACAAGTGTATTACAAGTGATCTCTCAATTAGCACAATATAATAATGGTTGTTCTCTACACTTGGCGAGAACTCAATTAAGCTCATTCTCACTAAATCACACACCACTACCCAACAAAATATTATATGAGATATAACAAGCTCAATGAGGTGCGTGATAAATGAGTTTAAATAAATTCTAACTCAATAAGAACTAGCAATAAAATTAATAAGAAATAAATGCTAGAAAGTTGAGTTAGGAAAACTTCTCTACAAAGAGAGGATGATTTGGATATTGAGGATGAACTCCTCAACAAATGATGCAAGCTTCTCTTTGTAAAATAAACTCTTCTTCAAACCAAACTTGAAACAAGGCTTAAACACAAACTAAACTCTTTTAAAACTTGATTAAGAAATCTTCTTGGTTAACTGAAGAATTCAGAGCTTATGAGTATATATAGCATCTCAATACATCAGCTAAAGCCCAAAGAAAAAGACCAAAAAACCAAAAACACACAAAACAGAAAACTAGCCGTTACTGTGCAACGGCTCTCTGATAAGTCGGCTTATGAGTCGACTAATGAGTCGACTTATATGAGTCGAGTTAGCAGATAAAAATAGCTATTCCGCTACACTTCGTAAGTCGACTTATAAGTCGACTTATGAGTCGACTAATGAGTCGACTATACGTGCACAGAACAGAATTTGCACAGAAAAACTAAATTTTAGGCTCTGTAAAAAAATATCAAATAAATTCCAAAAAATATAAAATTTGGAGAATAATTTATAAACATATAAATGATCATGTTCCAAAAGGAATTTTCTAAATGTGATTCTCCGTTTGTAAAATCTCTTAGTTTTGCAAAAGCATGTCAAAAGGAATTTTCTAAATGTGATTCTCCGTTTGTAAAATCTCTTAGTTTTGCAAAAGCATGTAAAAATGAATGTATAATATTCTAAATGTGATTCTCCGTTTGTAAAATCTCTTAGTTTTGCAAAAGCATGTAAAAATGAATGTATAATATTCCTAGTTTTGGACAATTGAGATAAACAATGATATGAAACCTTTTCAAATGAATTTATAGACTAAACAATAGTTGTATAAAGTAAATTTTAACTCTATACACTAATATCTCAGTATATTGTCAAAAACACATTGAAACCAAAAGTGTGTGTTATGTGGATATGAGCTATATATACTCATAAGCTCTGAATTCTTCAGTTAACCAAGAAGATTCCTTAATCAAGTTTTAAAAGAGTTTAGTTTGTGTTTAAGAGGTGTTTAAGCCTTGTTTCAAGTTTGGTTTGAAGAAGAGTTTATTTTACAAAGAGAAGCTTGCATCATTGTTGAGGAGTTCATCCTCAATATCCAAATCATCCTCTCTTTGTAGAGAAGTTTTCCTAACTCAACTTTCTAGCATTTATTTCTTATTAATTTTATTGCTAGTTCTTATTAAGTTAGAATTTATTTAAACTCATTTATCACGCACCTCATTGAGCTTGTTATATCTCATATAATATTTTGTTGGGTAGTGGTGTGTGATTTAGTGAGAATGAGCTTAATTGAGTTCTTGCCAAGTGTAGAGAACAACCATTATTATATTTTGCTAATTGAGAGATCACTTGTAATACACTTGTATACCGAGAGGAGTGTGTGGTGAGGACGGAGTCGATACCGAGAGGAGTGGCGTCGGTGGCCTAGTGAGAGGTGATAATTCCGAACACTTGAGGGAGTCGATACGTGAGGACCAACACTTGAGGTTGTAGCTTGTGTATGTACATTGTGAGATTTTGTGAGAGTTGTCGGTTGACTTGATAACCGAGTGTGTAGAGAAGTTCCGGCTTCCAAACCGAGTGTGTCATGATAGTGGAGTTCTCCTCAAGGTGAGGAGCGGAGACGTAGGTCGTGGGGACCGAACTCTGTGATCATATCTTATGTTTGAGTTTGTCTTGTGTTCTTTTATCTTGTGCTTGTATTTTACATTCTAGCTTATATATATCTCTTGCAAGCTTTAAATAATCAATAAAGTTTTTAATTTGGTATAAAATCGAATTATATTAGCATAAGACCATA